CAGAAAACAAACAAAAGCGGAACATGACAAAAACTACACTAAACAAAGACCTAAACGAGGAGGCAGCTACAAAAGTAATGTAAAGGAATCGGAAACCTGAGAGAAGACGTAGAACACGGCACATGAATGGCTTGGATGAAGAACATGGAGAAAGGACATGGATGATATGCAAACAATCTGACAACAAACAGAGGAAGACAAAGGGCCTAAATACACAGGGGAATAATGAGGGAATGGGAAACAGGATGGAAACACACCTGGGAGAAATCAAACATGACTAGACAAAGGTGGAAGCAAAACTAAAAACATTAACAAAGGACACAGGACTATCAAAGTAAAGCAGGAAACATAACAAAGGCACAGAGACACGGACTTTACTCTGACACAAGGAGACAGAGGGAACATGGATCACAGGTAAAGCACAGAAATCAAGAGACTAGAAATTCTACATAATAATGAAAGCAAATCCTATTAATAATTCAAAACACAAAACACTGGGTCACTGACCCACGACCATGAGATCCAGTCTTTATGATTGCCTATTTTTCCATAATGTTATGCCTCTCGGTGTATAGGAATGATTTTCCACTGTCGTGCTTTAGTAGGTTTTCAAATATATGCTGATGATAAAGTGATATATCAGGAAAAAAATGCCTTGTCTGTCTTCTTGCAACTGTTTTATCATTTGCATTGCTTGGTAGCATAGCTTGAAAAGTGTTGTCTTACACTGAACATCAAGGAAAGTGTGTCAGTTTGCTTTCCCTCCAGGGCTCACTGCTTAAAAGAGGTCTATGAGCCTACTAGCACATTGAGGCAACTGATGTGATTTGGATTCAAATAAAAAATCTTGATCTCATTTTAGAATTCAAAATTGGAAAAACATATTGAAAAGGTGACCAAAGTAGCAAAAACAAACATACATTTAAAACTTTTAGAGACAGTTTATCGTTTCATTACTCTTAAGTCTCAGCTGATGAAATATAATCCAATAAATAAAATTTTGGATAAAAAAATCTATAAGGGTGCACCATTGCAATGTGCTTAAGAAACTAAAAATGTGAAGTTTTGACAGTTTATCACATTTACTAGTCTAAAGTTAATATATAAATATTTATATAATATTTGTCACTGATTCTGTTCATAATTTGTATGAACAGAATTTCTAGCCAAGTGGTGGAAGGCTCAGAATCTTGTCTCTGCTTTTTGTAGATAATGTCGTTCTGCTGGCTTCATCAGGTAGTGGACTCCAGTTTGCAATGTTGCAGTTCCCAGCTGAGTGTAAAGTGGTGCGAATGAGAATCAGCACCTCCAAATCTGAGGCCATGGTCCTCCTAAAAGGAAAAGTCCGGAAAAGGATGGAGTACCCAATACAGGTTAGGGACGAATTGATCCCCAAGGTGGAGGAGTTTAAGTATCTCGGGGTCTTATTTACGAGTGACGGGAGAAGGGAGCGGGAGATCACGAGACAGATTGGTACTGCAGCTGCAGTGATGTGGATGCTGTACTGGTCTATCATGCTGAACAGAGTGCTGAGTGTAAAAGTGAAGCTCTCAATTTACTGGTCAATCTACGTCATTCCCCTTCCCAATGGTTACGAGCTCTGGGTAGTGACTGAAAAGAACAAGATCACAGATACTAGCGCCGGTAATGATCTTTCTCTGAAGGGTCTCTTCCTTAGAGATAGGGTAACAAATTTGGCCATCCAGGAGGGCCTCAAAGTAAGGAGCCAGTTGAGATTGTTCGGGCATCTGACAGGGATCCCTCCTAGGCGCCTCCTGAGTGGGGTGTTCTGGGCACGTGCCTGGGATGAGACCCCAGGGCAGACCCAGGACATGATGGAGAGACTAAATCTCTCTGCTGAACTGGGAACGCCTTGGTGTTCCCCCAGACAAGCTAGAGGAAGTAGCTGGGGAGATGGAGGTCTGAGCTTCTCTGCTAGGCTGTTGCCCCCGCGAACCAGCCCTTGATAAGCAGGAGAAAATGGATAGATGGTTCCATAAGTGTTCAGGGACCATATGGCTCCTCTTAAAGTTCTGGGTTCAGCAACATGCAGAACAGATCTTAGATTAAGACTAAACAATCAAGGTCCTACATAAATATATACCTACAGTACATAGAGGTTTTTTGTTTCAGATGAGCAGAGACTATCATAACACATAATAGTTAATATGGTCAGACAAATGCTTGATTGATCAGGTAGGATGGAGAAGGAAAAAAAAGCCAATACATGCATTATTTATGTAGTCTAGGGACACATTAAGACATTATCTAAGGCTTTCAGAGCTGTGTCCTGTAACCCTGTTAAAGTCCCTTGCAAGATATGGAAATTTATGGAAAAACACCAGATAAGGGAAGGCATCTAGAAAAAGCTTCAGTGGGCCAGCTGCACAGAGGCTTAAACCTTGTTTTCCGCCGGAGATCCCACTGAAGTTGAAATATTTTGTCTACACTGACTGATTGATCTGTGACAGTGAAAACACTAATTATTGTATTAAGTAATTATGTGTTTTATTATTAGGCATTGACTGAGAACAGATATGATTACATGATCCCTTCAGATAAAACAAATTAAAAAGTCACAAAAAACCTTCAAAGGGTATGTGGACATTGACATAAGAACACATTTAAACAATAATTACATAATTGCATACTTATAATTACTATAGCCTTTAGGCTCACTTTAAGTCAGGTATAATTTTGTGCATTTCTCTGTAGATAATTGCATTATTTTACTGTTGTCATAAGTGGGATATGACATATATAGCCAAAAACAGATCAGACGATGCAATGTTCTTGCCAGTGACTTGTAGGTACAGCCTCCGGCTTAATCTTCTTGTGCTGTAACCATGACAATAACAATAGCCTACGCAAACTTACAAATATAGATCCTCCTCTTTTGGGAGTATACAGATTGCCCTAAAGAATCAACTCTTCACTGTGGCCAGCAAGCCAAGACTTATCTTGTTGCTCTTTGCAGAATCATGTCCTCGCTGTAGCCAAGACAGTCAACATTTATCTTTCTGCTGCTCACCAGACATGCAGACAGGTTGTCTGAATTACTGCTCCCTATTACGCAAACTATAACACATTAGTTAAGTAATACATACAGTATGTAACTAATTTAAATCGATTCCAGTTTTTTAAAAAAAGTCCAGACAATGGTATTTTTGTTGATTTCTAATTCATCACCCTATTAGAAAAAGAGAAGACATTACCATCATCGCAATCAAACTCAGAAAGCCATGCAAACAACATTAAATAACACTTTCATCTACTTTGGCTGATTAAATATCTACTCAGGCCAGAGCTCTGTTTTGAAAAATATGCTGTCACAAATTTTCAAAGGAAACAAACAACGTTAGTTATTCCAACATGACAGACACAACAATTCTAAGAGTGAAATGAAGACCAGTGAACAATAAAATAAGATCCAAACAGATAACATAAGAAGAAAATGCGGATATAGGTACTTGAATGTGAATACTAGACCTATGTTATAGTTGGTTATATTTTAGTATAATAGATATATTATATTGGGTATCGTGTAAACAGACGCTATGTTTTAAAGAGTGTATAAGAGCTTTTGAACCTGAATATTTACTCTAAAGTCCAAAATCAGTCCCGCTGGCTAAAATGTAGCAAGGTTGACACCCAGTGGTTTGATCCGAACATTACAGCTGTAAACCCGCAATCTCCGCCTTATTCAAATACAATATTTGTTCAAATACAGGTCAGAGGCAAACACTTAAGTTTGCTATTCCCAGTGTGGATGGTGTTCAACAGTTGGGTAAATCCGTAATAGGCAGTGAGATTGGAAACTAATTAAAAAATTATGAGGAAATTACGAGGTTCTGTGCCAGATGTGAGAGCTGATTACTTTGTCTTAATTTCCTAAAAGGTGCACCAGCTCAGTGTGATAAAGATCATTAATTTGACTGCATTAAGAGGCGGCTGGCGAGCACGTTTAAAATAGACTATGAGCAAATTGTAAACCGTGATGGCGTCCATTTATGCTGCCCCTTTCTTTTATATTTTTCCCTCAGTTGAAATGACTGAACTGCATTTAATCTGGATGCATTTCATCAAAAATGATGCTCAAAATGTTTGTTTGTTTTAAATATGGATAGGGATTATAGTTCAGATTGGATGAAAGAAATTTTCCACTATCGCATAATGTCAGTGGTTTTAGGAGCAGATGGGTCTGGACCAGACCATGGCTAATACAACAGATGACAGACGGTGGTCTCTGGAACCAGTCTCTCACATATGACAGCCTCACTTACTGGTTTGATCTGGTCTTTCCAGTCCTCTTCCATCTCTGTCCATTTGTATAAATATCATTTTTATCAGCCACAACTACAGCCAAATTATCACAAAAATCACCCAATGCTGTTAAGAATTACAAATAGATTGCACAATTGCATTGAGGCAACATTACTTCCTCACACACTGCAAATAGTTGCTCCATCATGGATAATGACATGTCATAAGAATACTAGCAAAGGGAAGTTTAGTTAACATGATTAGAAAAGTCAAAAAGTCAAAAAGGCTGCTACTCATAAGCAACAACCCTTTATAATACTCTCAAAGTAATAACTACAGTGTTCCTTGGTTTTTAACAAGCTGTTTACATATAAAAGACAGGAGGTTATATCAGCCTACAGCCCATATTCATTGATTATTATGTTTTAATTATACTGGCTACTCCGTTTGTTTCCGGAGTGTGTTCAGAAATTAATTTCGAACTACCGTAATTATTATTAATAATAATAAAAACAAATGTTTGCTTGCAGTAACTGAAAGTAAACTGGACTCTTTGCAGTGTGGCTGTAACTAGACTACCGCCTCACACGCCAGGAGGGTGAACCGCCGGAAACAACCTACCCTGCCTTCTCCGTGCGTGAACCTTACGTGATTGACGGATCAGCCGGACCAATCGCACGCCTACTTCCCCTTTCCCGCGCTCCAATCACTTGCCCAGGACGAGTACACAGAAAATTTTACGGCGCAGTCACGGTAGGTTGAGCCGACTGAGGTCCATAGAAATTTGACAGCTTCACAGGTGAGACAACCGTCCAGAGGCTGTTTCACTTTAGCTTCCAGGTTTTTTTTTTCTCTCGGAACTCTATTCACTGTGAGCCTGGGGTTGCCACAGTCAAAAAACAACCATTCGAAGTCTAATCATTCCGGCAGCATGAGCAAAAAGAAAAAGGACTGGAAGACTGAAAAAGGTAAGGCTTGTTTTGGAAAGGGGGGGAGGTGGAATGAGGCTATCATCATCTCCATGGCAGACGGCGTGAATTTTTACCACGCCAGAAGACTGACAGACACTCTTTCCGTCTTGTCCGTGTGCTGCAGTAGTAGCCTACTTGTTTCCTAGACTGCTTGATAATCCCACAGGGCGGACTGTACAGATGTTGTAATGATGTTCCGCCTCCTGTTTGTGCCGCCGTAATGTGTGTTTGACATTCGCAACAACGCTGCCGACACAGTGCTTGCTTATTAGCTTACATTTAAGGTGCTCACAGATCTTTCTCGAGTCTTCACGTACCTGTCAGAGTACCCCACCACCCCCAACTAACAGTTCCCGTCTCCCACCTGTATGATGCAGCAGCAGCAGCAGCAGTTCGCTGAGTTGCAAACAGCATTCTCTGCAACTGAATGCCCTTGTAGGTATACAGCTCTCTTAGGAATTAGCGTGCATTAATATAAACCGTGCACTTATTCTTAAAGCCGACCACAGTTTGAAGCATACAACGATAGCAGGTTATTGTGAAACTTTTCTCTTTGACATACAGGACAGACCTGTTGTCTGACAGAGGCAGAGGCAGTAAGGGAGACTTCAGCACTTTGTGAAGTTTACTTGTGAGTTGTAGCTTTGTAACTCACAGCAGAGCTTTTTCGGGGTAAACTTCTTTCTTTTGGCTTAGCAGCTGTGGTTAGTGTGGCAGTCACTGGTTGCATTGCGTTTCTGCCACCTTAAAAACGAGCAAACAGCAACTAGACTGCAGCCACAATTATGCATGTCGATTGCACATGTATTTTCCCTGCTATGACATGCTTATAGAGAGAAGCAGTGCTACATAATGTCACAATGGGGGCAAATTTCCTTATCTGATCTAGCTCATTCAGTAAATGAAACGATGTTTTTGTTTTTTGTTTTGCATTATTTTGGTTGTCAATTTGAATTATGCATTTGTTTTATGGTTCAGTCTGTGTCTAAAGGATGTTTCTATAAATGCTTCCAGTTTGAGCAGGAAGCACCACAGAATGAATATCAATGTAAGTACTATTGTTAATCTACGTCAAATCCCTTTAATAGGAGATCATGGTAAGTCAAAACATGAAAGAAAGAAAAACCCTTTAAACTTAAGGATATTAACATTCTTATTTCTTAAAATGCTCCTTGACTTGGGCGAGTCTCTAGGCTTTGGGAAATCCCGCTATGTAATAACACCAAAGATGAAATAATTTCCCTCATTTTGACACTTTTAGTTTCTCTGGAAAGATCAGCCTTATTTCTGAAGCGGTTGAAAATCTGATTTGCCACATTTACCAGAATTCTGACTGTAGTAAAACTAGGAAGATTTATGAAAAAGAATGAACAACATATAGAAACATAACCGAGAATATTCATGAATAAAAAGACAGCATATGCTGTTCAGGCTGCAGGTACTTGGATAATGCCAGTTTTTGTAGTTTTGCCTCTGTACGCCACGACACTGGAATTTAAATCAAACAGTCAATATGAATTTAAAATTCACACTTTGAACTTTAATTCAAGGGGCTTTGCATAATTTTTTGCATTAACTATTGAGGAAATACTGTTTCCAATGGCTCAAAAGTAATTGGACAACTGGCTGACAAAATGTTTCATGGTTAGATGAAGTCAGTTTGCTTATTATTCCAGATAAAAGATCTGGAGATTATTCCAAATGCTGAACTTGAATATGGTAACTTTTCACTGGAACTCTAAATGTGATGTCCAAAGTGATGTCAGCGGGAGTGAGGGAGGCCATCATTAGGCTGAAAACCCAAAAAATAAACCTATCAGAGAGACAGTAAAAACTTTTTGAGTGGCCAGATCAATCAAAAAGAATGAAAACACTAGCTCAGCCATACCAAAAGGTCTGCGAGACCACAGAAGACTAAGTAGATGAATTCTTCTCTTAGTTAAGAAAAACGCTTCACAGCATCTAGCAAAAACACTTTCAAGGAGGTTGGTGTATCATTACCACTGGTTACACTCATGAAGAGTTTGGCAGCAAATATCTAAAAGAGCCTGCACAGCTCTGATTGATTGGAAGAGAAAAGTCTGGAGAATGAAAGGATCTGCTCCAAATGCATAACCCTAACCCTGATCCAAAGCATAAAACATTATCCATTGAACATAAACGAGGCAATGTTATGTCACGGGCATGTGTGGTTGCCATTTGCCTAATGGGCCTAGTGTTGATGATGTGACGGCTGATAGAAACAGAGGGATGAATTCTGAAGCGTAGTGGGCTATACTCTCCGCTTAGGTTCAGCTAAATGCCGCAGGGCTGATCGGACAGCACTTCAGTGTGCAAAATGAACCAAAGCATACTGAAAAAGCCATGGAAGAGCTTTTCAAGGCAAATATTCTACAACTGCCAAGCCAGTCACCTGGTCTCAACTCAGTAGAGCAAGCTTTTCAGTTAGTGAAGCGCAAGGAAGGAAACACAGTATCTAGTTATGGTGATTGTCTTGAAGTATTTAAACCAGTCATTATATTTCAAATTATGTCAGTTTGTCCCATCAGTTTTGAACCTCTGAAAATGAGGCCATATGCATAAAAATGAAATATGTTAAAGGTTTTTTGTTAAACACCTTCAACAAAGTTGAAAGTTTTCAATCACACCTTTTAAAACCACTGGAGGCAAAATTAGAGAAATTGCCCAAAACTCATTGATCTACCGTACTTCCCGGACTACAAAGCGCACCTGAATATTAGCCGCACAAGCTAAAATCAGGGGAAAATCCTGTTTTGTACATACATTAGCTGCACCTGACTAAAAGCCGCAGGTGTTTCAATGTTGACTTATCATATGTAAGAGAATATGCACAAAGCGAATTGTCAGGAAAGAGATGGCTGTTTGGAGACACAGCCCTTTTATTAATATTTTGAAAAACAAGTTAAGGGTACATATTACGAAACATGTGCTGTGCTTCATAAATGAGTAACAAATGTAGTACATAACAATAACCTACAGCACACCAGAAAAATAGATTCGGCTCAGGTGCAGTGACATGGCTTTAACAAGAAGAAAAGTCAGTCATTCACCACCATCTTCCTGCGCACTAAAACCACCAAAGTCCTCTTCTCCAGTGTCGGATACGAACAGGCTCAGGATGGCTTCATCATCCACTCTCAGCTCCTTTCCTTCGTTGTCACTTACAAAACCAAAGAAATCCTTGTTGTCAGTGTCGGAGTCGAACACCCTCAGAAGGGCCGTGGCGGTGTCCTCCTCTCCATCATGCAGCAGTCCAGCCCTTCGAAATCCGTTGGTGATCATGGATGTTTTCACACTTTTCCACGCTGTCAGATTCCACCGGTGGAGTTGAGCATAACTTGCTTTTTGCAAGTTTATCGCCGCTCGTCATCCACGCCTCCCGCTGAACGCGTAGCGCTACTTTGAAGTTTGTTTTTCACTCTACTTGTGTGGCACTATGTTGCCTGGCGGATGGACATGTGACCACCACTCTTGAACCCCGATACTGTGTGTCTGATCACATGCCCTTCTGCCAGGCAACGTAGTGCCGTACAACAGCGGAACAAACAAAACAAATCGTCTTACGATATGACAAAAATCATGGACAATCCATAGAAAAGCCGCACCTGACTAAAAGCTGCAGGGTTCAAAGCTTGTGCAAAAAGTAGCGGCTTTTAGCCCGACAATTACGGTACTTGTGATATATGCTATATGTGTGCAGCACAGGTGACTTGCCCTTTCAGCCAGGAGTTTAGAAAACTATTCAGGCCGTTTGATTGATATGATACTATGTGAAATAATCTCATGACCTCTAACCCAATCTTTGGGATTCTGCAAAGGACAGCAACAAAGTGCTTCACTGTAGTCCAGAGAGCCTTTCTGTGTTCAACTCCAGAACTGCCTTTTTATTCATCCATGTAGAATAATAGCTATTTTAGGAGTAACAGCAGTGGGCAAGAGGGAGAGAGAATACATCAGGGATACAACAGATATCCCCTATTGCTGCAAGGCCTTCAATGTAAGCCTGACCTCCTGTGATATTCTGTGTAACGATGATCCAAAGAAGCTTACATTTCTGACCAGAACATAGTCATCTCTTTTTCCCTGAATATGTAGGCTTTTATTTGTGCAACAGTCTCATAACCCATAGTGCCATTTAAAAAGAAACAATACAAGGTTGATATGACATGCATTTTATTTGATCTGTTACAGAGGTGATTTCAAAGTACACAGTGTAAACTAGGCTACTTATCTGGCAATGATTTCACAGTAGCACATAATTAGGATGATTTGCTTTTGCTTTTGCACAACAGCTCAATGCTGTCAACCAGTAGCAAGCAAAGGCTCTGTTGCAGTCAGAGCAGAAAAGCAGCAGAAGTTATTTGATATTAGACAATTATAATGTAGGTTGTTTTAAAAACAAACACATAAGCAGCACAAAGCACTGAGATTTCCTGTACATTGATTAGATAGCGCCTAGTATGAGTTTAAATGTAGTGAGATTTTAAGAAGTAAGTTCTTTGAAATAGTTTCTTGACAGACAAAGGGCAGGACAGTGTAGATATAGTTAGTATTTATTGATGGGTTCTGTATTTCACTCACTGGCTGCAAAGGATTTTCATTCAGGTATTAAAAACAATCCTTCTGCTTAAAATGATGTTAGTTGGTCCAGTTAATTTTGAGTCTCTAAAAATGGGGGGATTGTGTAAAAAAACTGTTGTATTTCCTAAAGATTTAATGCAAAAAAATTGTGTTAAACCCTTCATATTAAAGCTGAAATCTGAACTTTGATCACATTTTGCTTGCCTGATTTAAAACGTATAATTTAATTTAAACTTTATAGATAACTGGAAAACTTCTGGTGTTATTAGAAGAGGTGACTTCATCTCACTTTGGATGGAGCAGGTTGCAATTCTAGAAATCTAAATTGTATAAATTTCCTGTGAGACCAACAAAGAACAAACCAAAAATCAGCAAAAAATAATGTAAATATAAAAATTCACAAAAAAATCATTAATATAACTCTCTCGACCACATCAAGGAGTAAATTAATTAAATGTAGACTGTTGAACATTAAGCTTTTCTCTTCTAAATCTCTGTTAGTAAATGATTTATTAATTAATTGATCAACATTATTGATTTATTTCCCCTACAGAAGCCCGGATGCAGCAGGATAAATATGTTAGTTTAAATTAATCAGCACGCTTAAGTCATACTAACTGTCAGAAGCACAGGAGGAGGAGCAATCTTTCACGCTAGCTTAGTTTAATCAAGCAGCTGATAAGCCAAAGTGCAAAGATCTAGAAAAGTTCTAATTCATTTGAAAGTGAAAAACACAAAAAAACTGTTTTCCTTTTTGTTTCTTGCTCTTTTTCAGAGTTTCTATTGATTTCATTAATGTATTTTCTTTACAAAGAAAATGATAACCATTACAGGAAAAAGATATTCCGAGTTGACCCACAGAGCTAACATGAAGAAAAGCAACTTTAATAAATGCTGATATATATTTAGGCTCTTTCTCTCATATTGATCTTTAAAGTATAACTTCATGTGTTTACTAGCTCCAAACCATCAACAGTCTTGCAGGAATAGGGTCGATTAGACTCAGTTCCTACAAGACTATTGATGGGTCTAATGTACCCCATTCCAACAACACTGTTCAAAGAAGTTTAACCATTGTTTTTTTAATACGATCAATTTATCTTTATTAACAGGCTACATATCACAGGCTTTTAAGGTGGTTGTAATTAAACCACATGAGTTGCTACTTGGCTCAGGCAGGATTTATACCTTTCATTTTATTTTGAAAAATTCTTGAATGAGTAGTTGTAAAACAGGTTGTTGATCCCCTGCAGAGGAATGGTTTGTTTGAACTTGCAGCCACTGTTGGTATAAAGAAAATGAGTTGCAGTTGTTTGAGTCGTATCTATCTGACAGATTCCATATTGTTTATGTAAATCATTTTGCTTTGTAGATGATCTCCAGCTTTATTTATCAATATAGCCAGATGAGATTTATTACTATGAGACTGATCTGTTGTACTTGATTATTATCAGGTCACTCTAAAAACACTCTGAAAAGTTGCTCCAGAACACTGCATTAGAGTACTAACAGGGGCGATAAAGAGACACCGTATTTCTCCCTCTTGCACTGAACATTTTTTCCATTTTTAGTTCCTTTTACTTTCACTTTCTTTTCTCCCTCTACTCCTTTCTTCCTCCCCTCACCGCTAACGGGTCACAGCAGAAGGCTAGCCCTCTTTGAGCCTGCTTCTGCCAGAGGTTTCTTCCTTACCACTATCACTATGAAGTGCTTGCTCACAGAGGACTGTCTGATTTTTCGGGTTTTCTCTAGAAGATCATCGGGTTCTGGGGCAATATATTAAGTTCAGTTCAATTGAAAGTTCACTGTGGTTGAGTACAGAGGCAAAATTACAAAAATTGTTTAACTTTTCAAATATTTATACACCTTGACTGTATTTTCAATGACCTGTAAGTCGTATAGGAGTTTGTGCAGAGAAAAAGCAACACAGAGCTTTGAACAGGGAGGACTAAAAGCTTGGATTCATGCACGAAGCCTGCACTAAAATAATGCTTGTCTGACAGGCGTGTGGTGTCCACAGCTGCCAGTTTAAAGCCATAAGCGATGGCTAAACAACCTCCATCACAATGCTACTGATGAAGGGTCTGTCTCATGACAGGTCCAACTAACTTGTGGAGGGGAAGTTCCACATTCGCATCAAGGCCTGAAACTATTACTGATATGGGTGGGGGCCTTCAGTAAAGCAAGAGCACTTTTCTATGACTTTGGTTAAGAGAAGAAAAAAAACTATATTAAGTTAAAGTGAAGGAAGGATGTTTGTGATTTTTAACATAAATCAGTACAGCACCTATTTGTGCAAGGACTACATTTTTGGCCTGTTTTTATCAGTTTTTTTTTTTAGTAAAACTGTTTTTATTTTCTGTCACGTGTATGCAACTTGTCTTCACAGAGAGACTGCTCCATCTAAGTTTGGATGACAGGCGCAAGGAGTATCGTCGTCAAGATTTCATTTCTCTGGACAAGATACTAACCTGGAGAGAGAAAAACAGATGTAAGTGACGGAGTGTGCCATTTGGGATGCTGAAGTGTTTCTAAGTGTGTAGTCGTACACATTGTGGTATTTTTTACAGGTCAATCAGAAACCAGGAGTGCTGTTTGTCAGAAAAGCTGCGCCAGCATAAGTACAATTAATTTAAGCTAAAAATTTAAGCTGAACAGATGTATTTTCATAATTTCACTTATCTAAAATATATGTATTATCTATCTTTTTTATTTGTTGCCCATTTCAAAACCTAAATGAGAAACTGGTGTTGGATTATATAGCTGTAACAAAATTAACCCTAGACAATGGCTGTGCTACATGAACATTAATCAATTGAAAGAGACATTTGTAAACAACAGTATGTTACTTAGTCTTTTATCTCAAACTGTGGACTACTGCTCTTTATTGATAGCTGAAACTTTGGTGCTCTGTCACTTGCTGAACAGAGCAGAGGCAGAAAGACAACGTTTTGCAAGAACTTGTTGCAAAATAGTGATGTCACAGACCCCTTTCCTTTAAAAAAAATTGTTGCTAAAAGGGTGTGAATGGTTTCTTCTAGGGCTGCTCAATTAATCGAATTTTAATCACGATTACGATCTGGGCTTTCAACGATCATTAAAAATGACTGAGCCGATTATTAGCCCCTCCCTCATTTATCCGCGACACCTTAAAGGCCGGTCCGTGAAAATATTGTCGGGCATAAACCGGTCCGTGGCGCAAAAAAGGGTGGAGACCGCTGATTAAGAGGACCCGAGGGAAGCTCGGAAAGCTAAGCAGAAGTTATTTGGAGAGTGACTGCCGTTGGTTGAAAAGAGAGTTTAAAAAAAAAACTTCAGTGGTGTTGCACACTATTTTATATTATTTTTTTAAAGTCATTGTTAACCCTTTAAAGCCGGTCAGAGCAGCACGCTCCGTTTTGCGTAACTATTGTTAAATCCCTGTAGAACCTGAACCGTGTAAGCTAGCGCAATAATTTGTTTTGCATATGAAACCGGAGGAGTTGTACTTACATCTGATGCCATCAGCTTGTCCTCGGTCACGGTTTCGTTCCACATATAGCTTTGCAAAAATTGCATAAAAAGCGCTTGCAGGAACAAAAACATAATATTCCAGAAACACGTTTTGCCGTTCCTGTCAGCTGTTCGTAACACTTCCCACAGTGAAATGATGCACATGCTGTTTTCTTTGCAAATTTGCATCATAGGATTGTTTTTTGTTTTTCCTGCAGTATATAAAAATTGCTGTATCTCCAAAATAAAACTATGAAGACACTCAAAATAAATTTCCTGTTGTTGTAAACTATTTTTTGCAACTTTATTGTATTTAAAGTTTTGAGGGATAAACCTCTTAAATTTCTCCAAGTAGAAATATATGTAAACAAAACAAAAGCGATTTTCAATTTTTTTTGTAGTTTATTGCACTTTTTTGCAATTTATGTAATTACTATGTACTTAATGCATACATATTATTAAAATATGGGCTATAACAGTTGTATTGATGTATAGCAACTTGAAATGCTCCCACAAATGGCACTACAGCATGTAAAAAAATAATATAAGCTCTGGTGGACTTGGTTCTATAGTAGGTCTTAAAGGGTTAAATAAATATCGTCAAATAATCGTGATCTCAATTTCAGTGAAAATAATCGTGATTATCATTTTTGCCATAATCGAGCAGCCCTAGTTTCTTCATCTGGCCAAAAAGGTAAAGTGAAATGGTGGGGTTACAGCTGTGAGTAAGAAGGATGCCAAAATGGAAATGCATTGTAGCACACCTTTATTGCTTCCATAGCAATTGAGAGAGTAAGGATCAGCCAGCGACTGCTAATCAAATGCAGTTTAGTGGGTGATCATCACATGTTTAACCAGCTCTTTTGGCTTAATTCCCTGTTCTTAGCTGACAGAAGTGGCAACCGGTGTGGTCTTCTGCTGCTGCTTAAAAATTTGTCTAGGGTTTTTGTAAGATTCTGTTCAGAGTCTTTCCCATCCTGATGCTCAGTTTTAACTTTAGCAGGTTGTCTCAACCATCTCTACATGGGGAATTTTATCTAGTTTCTGAGTGGCTAATAAGATAGTTACATTAACAAACAGTTAAACAGGTTTCCCTTAAAAATTGTCCAGTGAAGTGTATTTTCCTATATTCAGTTACTTGGACAGGAATTGTATTGATTTAAAGTTGGAATTAGTGTATTTAATTAACATTACAATTCACAAAACATATCAAAATATGATGTAAAATAGAGAAGCAAGTGAAAGATTATGAAAAATAATTTTTTAATTGTGAAACAGCGTGATTACCCTGTAATAGTGTCAGAAATAATAAGCAGAACTCATTTAGATTCAGAAAGCTGAATTATATTTTCTTAACGTATGAAGCTACCTTTAAATATGCACATTTAAAAAAATAAGCCATTTGTTATGTAAAAAAAAAGTCATTTTAAAGTTGAAGATAAGAGTTAATGGAAGGCTTAATATGTTAATATTATAAATCGACCTGTCATTCAGTATGTGACTGTGTATGCTGTATGTGAAGCAAGAAGCAAAACTCATTGCTAATAAAAACCAACACAGGCTTTTAAATTGATTATGACAAAAAACTCTGCATCAAAGAAAGCTGTTGATTTTTACTATTAATAGACACTGTGGAATGGTTATAAGTGAACTTGTCTTGCTTGTCCACTGTACTTAACTGGTTCACAACAAAAATCAATACTACACACTGCATCACACAAGTATTTTTAGACAGCTTCTACAAATAGAATAAAAATGTGAGTATTGATGTATAGGACACTGGAATCATTGACAAAGTGATCCTTACAGTCTTTGTTTTCTTATTTCAGGTGATGACCAAGAAGATGGGAAGGAGGTGACAGGCGGAGGAGGGCTGAGTGATAAAGTATCTCTTTACAAAGGAGATATTACTGTCTTGGAGGTGGATGCCATAGTCAATGCTGGTAGGCACTCTGTTCTCTGACCTTTTAGAACAGGTGGATGGTGTTTGATGCCTGAAGGCTGTTAAGTTGTCCTTGGCTGCCCTCTGCTGTTAAGACTTGGGAAATACTGGTTGTTATGGCATTACACAGTGGTCAGCATGACTGAGACAAATGTTAAAGTACACATCTGCTCTCGCTGATCTGACTGTCCGAAAGTTAAAATACAGTGCTGTTGAGACTATAATTGCAGCTCATGGCCTTTCTCGTGAAAGTGACAGACAAGGGTTCACGACCAGCTGCTTTTGGTGAGGTTTATCTGGTTTGTCAGTGATGCGACACAGATCTGTCAGTGATTATTCAGTGCTGCTGTTGGGGGAAACAACATAAACATCTTTCAAAGTGAGTGAAAAACCAGGATGAAGAAAGGTTAGCAGAAGTGTGTGTTTTTTCTCATTATTGCATCACTGTTATATAATATTCTGCATTCTGTTCACAACCTACACACAGAGTTATAAGTGTGGAAGAATTGCTTTACCTGTTGCTACAGCTGATCCAGAGGAGAATGTTTCAGCTTAAAGTTGTGGTACCTCAATAACTGTGCAGGAGCAGAATATTAATATAGTATATATTGGATTTCTGTTGTTTCACAACTTTTCTTTTCTCACAAAGTGTTTGCAAATACATTCATATTCTCATTAGAGTCTACTAGGCAGTGTTCACCTTGTGTGAAATTAGTGCCCTATAATTTATGCAAGATTAATAGATGTGAAAAACAGACTGCTCCATCGGATGAGGCTAATGAACTTAATGTATTATGTAAAAAGCCATGCTGATGAGGTTGGCATGGTGTCAGCATTATGTAAAAAGAGTACAACTGACATGAACCTTAATCTCATGGCTGTTGTGTCTGTTCATCAGCATGTTGACCTACAATGTATCACATGCATTATTATAGAGGTCAAATAGATTCTTCCACTAGTTTTATTGTTGCATGTTATTTACTTTGGTGTTGTGACAGAATCAACTAATTTTGATACAATATATGAAAAATATTAATATTCAACACTATGTTTGATACTATTGTGAGGAAAATGACCACAACATTAAAGTTTGTTACTTTGAACTTTTACTAAAAGATAAAAACAATGATTATTCTTTTACATTAATGAAAGCTTATTGAGGTACTTATCTGTACAACTAGTATCTCTGTTCTGTATACATACTTTGATATAGATAATGAATTGTTGCACTCAAAAATGATTCCTTGTCCTCATGAACATGCCACAATAACGTTGCATAAAATGCCGCCAAAATATTAAAAAAATAAAGGTGCGTTTGTTTAAATTATTAATCATTAAGGAAAACGTGCCTGCTGTAAAGTGAAAGTATGTTTCATTTGAACAGATGCCATTAAATTTAACATGTAAAACAAAAAACATGTAAAATTGACATGTAAACAAATTATTTAAAATCTGCATTTTTGCATACATATTTTTTGAGTATAATGCTATAAACATACTGTATATCACATACTCGTATGAAAGTCAGGAAACTTCTCTTTGCAATTTTACCTAATTTTACTGTTTAAATTTGTTACATGTAAGTCTGTGGCCTCAAAATGAAGTATTTAGGTTATGGATAAAATGAGCAGTGCTTTGTGGCTGGATGCTTAGGGCACACGAGAAGAGAAAATAAGGTTCAGGATGCAACGTTGCAGGTTTTTGTTTTACACTGTTTAATGCTATTGCAGCAGAGGAAGGTTGTTTACTTCATCAGCTAATGCAGCCAGACATCCAGGCTGTGATTGAGCAACATGCTGGCTAGGAGGCAATTGATTCTGGTTAGCAGGCTGTCAGAGGTGCTCGAAAGGTCAAATGAATTGCTGAAGCCTTTTATAATTTTTTAGGTCTCAGCATTTGGCCCTCTGTACCTCCATTCATACTGTCAAGCCACTCGTCTTTGTACAGGTGGTAGCACTGATAAGAACACAGTGATGGACTTTACTGTCCAGTTTTGTTTATAGTGTGGGGCAGTTTTGCACAGTAGTTTGTTATGAATGGGAATTTTAATGTAAATGGAAAGTTCCAGTGCCAATGTTTTTGTCACTGGTAACAAAACATTTTACAGGATGACATTGTGCTATATAAATATTGCTGGCAAACGATTTAGTTGATTAGGCTGCACATGCTCTTGGTCGTGTGGATCTTGCCCAAATTTTTTGTGACTAACACAGTTCTGAGCAGGCATTGTGGATGTTGAGCAACATGCACTGATAAGATCTTTTGGATAGCTTGTTCAACTTCTTGCCTTTCATCTATTCAATGGTTCCAATCTCTGGCCTGCAGTACTTCCATTTTCTCATGCTGTTTTTCACTTGGGCTTGGCACCAGCAGACTGCTGTGTGTGAATTGTGGGAGTTTTTGAAAGTATTACTCACAAGCTTAATAAACAGTCCGAATGACTTTTTCTCACTACGGTCCAACGTGATTTATAAATTGAGATATTACGAGTGCAAATTGTAGGTATATGTGGAGGTTGGTGTGAAGGAATACATCTTTGTGACCCCATATTTATTTAGGCTACTAATTATGTCCTTTGGTTCATTTATTTGGCAGTTTAATATCCTGTTGTGCTGGGCTGTGATGTGATATGGAAGACACAGCTCATTATTTATTATGGCATACCTTAACTATTACTTTAAAACTGCATTAGCAATGTGTTCTCCAGGTGCGGTTCATTGCAGCGATCAGCTTGTTAAAGCTGACACATTTGTTTTAATTATGTTCCATTTTCATCCATTTCTTAGGGAAAAGACTTTTCAACAAGATTTTGTCTCGACAGCAGCAGTATGCGGCTTATAAAATAAGAAATGTCCAGCTTGCCGTTACCTGTTATGGCTTCTGCCTATAGCTTTAAGAGGGTGTCAAGTTGCTTTATGTGCTCCATTAAAATTTAATTATTGGGCTCATTGAGTTTTTAATTCTTCTCTAATTCTGTTTAGCTGGAGGTTGCACAGGAGGCGCTTAAACTGTCACCCGTGTGCGAACCTGTGGGAGGTGGTGTCAGTTAAGTGCAGGGTTAGAGGGCAGAGCGGCTATAACATGACACGGTGAGTCAGGCTGCAGCATCTTGTCCCAGCAGATGTTGAGACTTAGCCCAGAGTATAGAATGACCCTGCTGTAAAAGTGATGTTAGACCACACTCATGCTTCTTGCAGTCCTCTCGGAAAACATAATGAAAATGATAGGAATGGGTACAGATGCAGACATACCAGTTAAAAATAAAAATCACACAGTTTTCTAAAATAAAGTGAAACAGATGAAAGTGTTTAGAGTCAGGCATCCTCTATTTAACTGAGGAAGACCTTTACTCTGTTTCTCCCTATATATTGAAATGATCACAAGTATCAAATGTTTTGATATAATTTGATCGTTCCCATAGATCTCAATCAAGGCTGAAGGTTTAGTCACTGTTCCTAATGAGCCATTTAGGCAGTCTCTGTGACGGGAAGCACCTTGTGCTTTCGAACATCGGTTGTTTTTTATTGCCTTTTAAATAAAAAGTTAGATCAATTGGGCATGCTCAGTAGTGCCACAAAGCATGATTGGATATAATTACGTCACTGTACCATGCAGTCCTCCTGTCTGGATGATATCATCGATGTTGCTTCACTTTCTGTTAGAGTTTTTCATGTTCTTATCCCAGGATGCTTTGTTAGTCCTCTAGTTTTATGCTGCCCTGATTCAAAGCACTTTGTGCCTGACTCTGGAAACCAACTGCATCACATAACTGGGCCTCCTCCGTGTATTTCATTGGGATTTTTTTGTTCATAATGTTTCTCTTTCTTCTTGTGTGAACATTTCTTTCATCTGCCCACAGCTGTCCAAAGAACATATTTCCTAAGAAGTGTTGTGGCTTGACAACATGCATTTTAGCAAACCCTAGTCTGGTTTTATCTCTCTCTCTCTCGCTATATATATATATATATATATATATATATATATATATATATATATATATATATATATATATATGTATATACATATATATATAAGAGTGAACGAGTGAACGAGACATCGATTCACTGATCCACACTACCAGGCTATACAGCAATGACATTGGAATGTCGTTCGGACTGGAGAAGTGTAGTCGGATGGTAACAAAGAGAGGGAAGGTAGTCAGAACTGAGGGGATTGAACTACCAGAAGGCAACATTGCAGACATAGAGGACAGTTACAAGTACCTGGGATCCCGCAGGCAAATGGAACCATGAAGAGGCCGCTAGAAAGGCTGCAACCACCAAGTACCTGCAGAGGGTCAGGCAAGTCCTGAGGAGTCAGCTGAATGGTAAGAACAAGATCCGGGCCATCAACACATACGCCCTGCCCGTGATCAGGTACCCTGCTGGGGTAATAGGCTGGCCAAAGGAGGAGATAGAAGCCACTGACATAAAGACAAGAAAGCTCCTGACCATGCATGGAGGGTTTCACCCCAAGTCCAGCACCCTGAGGCTGTACGCTAAGCGGAAGGAAGGGGCCGGGGACTGGTGAGTGTCAGCACCACAGTCCAGGATGAGACAAGGAACATCCAAGAATACATTGGGAAGATGGCCCCAACTGACCGAGTGCTCAGTGAATACCTCAGGCAGCAGAAACCCAAGAAAGAGGAGGGAGACGAGGAACCATCATGGAAGGACAGGCCCCTGCACGGTATGTACCACCGGCAGATAGAGGAGGTGGCTGATATCCAGAAATCCTACCAGTGGCTGGACAAAGCTGGACTGAAAGACAGCACAGAGGCACTAATCATGGCAGCACAAGAACAAGCTCTGAGTACAAGATCCATAGAGGCTGGGGTCTATCACACCAGGCAAGACCCCAGGTGCAGGCTGTGTAAAGATGCCCAGAGACAATCCAGCACATAACAGCAGGGTGCAAGATGCTAGCAGGCAAAGCATACATGGAACGCCATAACCAAGTGGCCGGCATAGTGTACAGGAACATCTGTGCCGAGTATAACCTAGAAGTCCCGAGGTCAAATG